TAAGTTAAATCTGGTGGTTAATTTGTGGTTAATTTGTTGACCCCCCAGCCTCCTTAAACTTGTATGATTATTCTTAAAAGATAGTATCTTTTTGTATCTATTTTCTTTTAATTTCTCACTGACGTTCAGAACTACTTCTTTAAATGTAGTCCATTTGGCTCTTTCACAGGAATTCCAAGTCAGTGCATTCCTTACTTTGGAAATGCTTTTCCAGTTATCAGTGTAAGATATAATTCTCGAAGTTCATTTTCATTTTTTTTTTCTCGGGGCTACCTCTTGTTGCTTTCACGTGTCTTTTTGCATTTTGACATTCGTACTAGCATGTCTTGATTTTGCGTTGGGTTCATTCAGAAAATGTATAGATGTTTTGTTTTTACCATTTACATAATTCATTTGGAATGGTTACTCATTATCAATTCATGCATGGTCAAAAAAGAATTTTATTTCGATAATCCCTCCGTTAACTTGTATTTATGAACACCCACACCATGAATATGACCGAAGAATTTTTATCTTACTAAATGCAAAAATGCACACTGGTGAGGGTAATTTAACTGTGCAATAATTTTCTTACCTTAATCCTTCATATGACCCTGACCTTGCTATCCTAATTTTGCGTTTACATTACTTTCAAAGAAACTATTAAAAATATGTTTATTCAACCGTTCCTCATCAATACAAATTGGTAAGAGCAATTCAACTACTATTTAGGCCTATGTCTTATTTTTTACGACTTAGACCTTCTGTGTGACCTTGACCTTAGTATTTCTCATTTTGCATCCACTTTAGTTTCAAACAACTATTCAATTAAGATATCTTCAGCAAATTTCAAATTACAATTGTACAAATTAGTGAGAGCATTTCAATGTATCAAAATTTTCTGATCTTGACATTCCCTTTTACCTTGAATTCACTATTCCTCTTAATGGCATTCCATAAACGACCATCGACTTCTTACTGGCAACTACTAGAACTTATGATAACCTCTAGTTTTGGCTTTAGGGCTGAAGTCGTTCCAAGTTCTTTCAATGGTTAGCGTACGTGTACTCCTGGTATTTGAAAGCTTTAGAAAAAAGGACGCAAGAAAATCAATATTCATGTAATTGATTTTAAAGTTGATTGAATTATGTATACTTTTTTTCCTATTTTTCTCGAGAATCTATGAAATTAGTTGTATACTTAACATCTACCGTAATTTTGCAAAGGAATACCGGTATATCTTTCTACGAGAAAACTAGAATTACAAAATGGAATCCTTTATATAATGCATTTTGTATTACTTTAAGCATGTGTTTTTATATTTTGGCTAGTGTGAATTTTGTGAAAAGACAACCAGATAATGTAAACGCTGAAGACGAAAAAACGAGAAGTGACCTTATACACATATGCTTGAATATTAGCAACATCGTCTAAAGCTACGGTCGGGAATCCGCATATTGGAGAGGATCGAACTTGTGATGATGGAATAGCAAAAATATTTCAACAATTAAAAAAGGCGGAACCATATATTTCTATACGGGAAAGAAAGAGGAAGGAGTTTATCCTCCTAAGAAAATAGAGAAAACGACAAAAATACCAGAAAAAGCAATCACAAAAACATAAGAGAACTCCAAAATTCCGTACATGTAACAAACAGAATAAACCAATTTAAAAGCCTGAATTTTGAAATTCTGATAAAAGATTCTGGGTGTGTTTGGAATGGAAAAAACTATTTTTTTTTATATTACATATTTTACTTTCATTAGAAATCGAAATTGTGATATCTAACAATCATTTTCCGTCCTCAAAAAATATATTGAATAAAACTTATAATTTTGTGGTATATGGGAATTATTAAATGAAAGCCGATCGTATTTTAATTACTGAGTATTGTTAATTTTTTATAGGCTTATTTAGGGGGAAAAAAATTGTATATCCAAATATTGAAATAAATAGCTACTATTTTGGATATATGAAAATGACCTCTTTTTTAAATTTGGATCTTTGAAATTAAAAATAAAGTGGTATTTACATGTACTTAGACGCGCAATTTTAGTACTAGTTTACTATTGGGGTTAACTTTTATTACAGAAACAAGTCTCGGTATCTATAACTCAAATTACTTGTCAACATTAGAATTTAAATGCATATGCATCTTTTGTTTACTTCTGTAATTTTATTTATCAATACAAAAAATACAAACACAACAGTCTTATGCTATCCATCCCGACATTTTCTCAGAATTAAATACATTCATTCATTTTCATTCATTAGTTTTTCTCTCTCTCTCTCTCTCTCTCTCTCTCTCTCTCTCTCTCAAACAAACAAAATAAAAAAAAAACAACATATAAATGGGAAAAGATGTATATGTATACATATTTACAACAATTTGGAAGAGAAGAACTTATTTTAATTGAAGATTGAAGAGAACAGACAATGCCTTAAAGAATGAGTGGACTTAACGCCCTATTTTGGGTCTTTTTACGATTTCTCTACCAAGCTGAAAATGAAGTGAATCCAAAATATTTTACAATCTAGAACTACATATACATGATTATATTAGGTAGGACAAAAGCAAACAAAAAAAAAGTTGTACTGCAGTGGGTTGGCGCCATGAATCAAAATTGAAGCAACGATACATTAGTGTCGCCCTACGGAATTTGACATATAGCAGAGTGGTTTTATAGGTCACATAATTGAAATATTAACAGGAGGGGGGATTATCGATCAGCGTCTCTTTCTCTCTCTCTCTCTCTAGAAATTCGAATATGTGTATATATGGTATACTACACATGTCAATACGTAATTAAACGATTTCTCTGGTAAATATTGTGAGGACACGCAAAAAAGATAATTAACAGATTTAATTTGCTAAATTCTGCAAATGGTAGACCAACCAAACACACTCTAAGACGTGATTTAGATCGAGGTCAATGTGTTTTCACAACTTCACCTGCAGCTTGACCCCACGTGCTGAATTGTAGTATTCAAAAAGTCAATCGAAGTCAAATCAAAGTTAACATATTCATAATAATGGAAGCGACAAATCTGTTTTGCAGGCCCGTAGATCAATATATTTTTTCGGAGAGCTACAGTTCTACAGCTACATATACAGGTGATAGCGGGATATTACTACGTAAATAAGGAAAGTTGACGATGGAAAAGCTGAATTAAGTTATCTCGTTTGTCATACAATAAAGTTGTTAGTTGGCCCTTATCGCCTATAGTCAGTAAAACATCCTAATATGAAACAGATGTGGTAGACTATGCTGTCTTTTATTTCAAGTTCACTGGGATATATCGATTCGAGATATGAATGGAAGACACTATTGTTAATTGATAATACGTCATCGATATATCTAAATGTCAAGTTGAAGGCCACAGCAAGTGTTTTCTTCTTCTCATGTAGAAGTTTTTGAATAAATTCTTCTTCATAGGAATATAAAAACAGGTCGGCTAATAAAGGAGCACAATTATTGCTCATCGAAATTCCAACAGTTGGAAGACCTGGTCTACGAAGACTACATAAATGTTGTCAATGAGGAACTCCAGCATCCTTTTAAAATCAACTTCAGAGTACTTTTGTGTAGAATCAGAGTGATTTTTAACACACTGATTTTATTGATGACCAATAACAAGGTACGAAAATTTCTGACTTCCATTGTTATTGAAGAAGCAGATGTCTATAATATCAAAAAGTCTAGTTTTTGATTTAATTTATCGTGAGGATTGGTTGTGTATAGAGTAAAAAAGTCGTTGATGTTACTGACTTCCAAAAATTTTGCGATTTTAAATTTTCTAAAGGTTCTTTGGAGTTCTTGTGCATTTACATTTGATTTACACCACTTATAGAATATGTTGCAACACAGTACGTCTGGAGTTTCTCCTTTACAGCAGTTAATATTTCTGTAAGGGGTAAAGATAGGGGCTTGGTAGAGCATACATTTGCTGGACCCGTCAGTCATGAATGTATCTCTGTTTGTAAGGATTTTTATGAAGTTTAGGAATCCAGTAAAGGTAGGTAGATCGAACTCACCTTGGTTGACTAGAATGTTAAAAGTATTAAACACATATAGAATTTCATCTTTAGAAAGTGAACTGTGAGTATAAGTTGGATTTTCAGAGGTAGAATTAAAACCAAGTTCTTCTAAAATACAGTTATAATATACAAACAAAGACGATATTGTTACAAGTCTTGTCTGCTGGAACCATAACATATTGTTCATGTAGTCTTTCTAATTTTCTTATCACCTCTAATTTAGTGAAAACAGAAGGAAAGATGTTTCGCATATTGCCTTTTTTTCTTATACGTTTCTTTAATATAATCTGATTTATTTTAGCTTCTCTGGAAAGTCTGATCCAATATCAGCCAATGTTGGTATATAGCATACATGTATGGGCAAGGAAAAACACCAATTGTGAATTTCATGGTGACTACCTCCCTAGGGAACATGAGGGGTGGGATCAAAATCATCAAAATCAATGCAACCTTTAAAAAAAACCTTCCTTATTCTTGAATACCAAGTAGTCAATTAAGCTGCTGGCATGATTATAGTAACATGTAAGCTTGAGAAAGTCGTAAAAGTGAAGTGATAACGAGATATAAAGTTGTAATTACGAGATTTAAAAAGTTTTTTTTATACTACTTGAGAAATTCGAAATAACAAAAAGAAAAGGTCGTTATTACTTTGTAGAGAGCTTTCATGTAAATCTATAACTAATTTATAGATCTATAACAATTTTCGTCTGTGGAAATATTTCATCCCTTTTAATTAAGCCGACTTTCGAAATTTTCTGCTTAATTTAACCCCCCCCCCCCCCCCCCCGAGAATCATCAATGGCGGGGGGGGGGGATCAGGTATCAGTAAGGAAGTAATTTGCGAATTAATAATTCCTCTCAAAAAAGCCTGCAACCAAGATTGTTCGAATCACAGGGTGTTAAGGAGACAGTCGTTCAGATTGTCAAAGATCCTGTGGTTTGAGTTTTTTTTTAACTTAAAGTCGGGATCGACCTTCGTTTATTTTTTTATAATCGACCTTGAAACATGGCTGTTAGAAGTCTGTGCACCGGGAATTTGCTCAACCAATTTTTGTCAAAGAAGGTATCGCCTGCAACATGTATAAAATTTGGGTAAGTTTTGCATTTTGATGATTACAGGCTTTGCATTCTTACTGTCTGCATCATGCAGTCATAGGAATGTCACAGTGTCAACAGCCCGAGTGCAAATTTGCACGTGTGTAGAACATGATTTTCATGTTTTTGTAATTAATGATCATCCTCGATTTTACAATCATTAGTTTTATGTTGTATATTTTTGCTTTCACTAAAACCACATAAGTGCAAATGTACAAAGAAAATATCAAATTTTGTGCCAAGATGCGAATTAGAATTTTTTTCACTTGTAGGTTATGTCAGATAACTGAATTCTACAAAAGAGTTGATTTATTATTTTTTTTTAAAAATATTTTTTTATATTTATCCCCATTTCTTGATAAGTAACATGTTTGTAGTACCTTAATAGATCATTATACAAAAATGTGTGTCAATATATTACACAATTCAATTCATGTGCAAGGAAGCAATAAAAATCCTATTGATGGTCCAATGTCAAGGAAATTAATTCATGAGTCAATAGGAAATTTTCAAGCAGATTGTATTTCTACACAGTGTCGAAATTGACAGGGTGTGAGAAACAGAACAATTGATCTACATTTCTATATAGTATGGGTAGCCAGGAATTGGATATACTTAACTAGAGTTGGGTATTGCGAGTGAAAACCATATTGCGATATATTGCAATATTTTACTTTGAATATTGCAAATTAATTTATTTAATTATCATTAATAAATTTGAGCAGAAACTTTAAAATGCTATCAAGTTCAAAGACTATTTGAGTTTATTATTAAGACTTAACATGCTTAATTAAGGGGGAAAATAAAACATTGCAAGTAATTACACTTTACTTTTAATAATCAAATAACAGGTACAATAATGAAACAAAATGAACTCTCATGGAATATCTTCACATTGAAAAAAGTTAAAGCTGAAATACATAATTGTATATATAGTCTTTTAGCATTTTATCTCAGTCTTTATTTTGAGGAGGGGGTGGGGGGGGGGGGGTGAAGAAGCATAAAATGTCAGTTAAAAATTAAAATAATACATATTATATGAAAATTTTATTGTGATTACAGAATAAATAAAAGAAAAAAAAGTTGTGACATATTTTCGTGTGTTTTCTTGTATTAGTCTAGCCTGACCTTATTTCACATTATGACATATGATCAGGAACTGGCCTATATCTACTGTTTTAATGTACATGTTCCTGGTATAGCATGAAGGTGTTAAAAATAGCATCAGAGTTATGAAAAAAAATAATTAATGCAATACTGCATTCAAGTGAAAACATCGGTGGCCATTTACTTGAAATATGTAGGCCTACATGTATACTGAACTTAACACTGCATCGCGATGATGATCGTGTCGATTCCACATGAGATTTTGAGAACCACAGTATACAGTATACATCGTATATACCCTGTAAAAATGGGTTTTTATATATTTTCCTTTTATTGATTTTATTTTGAAGTCTAATTAATTTTATTTTAAAGTAAGATGATTAAAATTACAACAGTGAATGAAAATCACTTTTTCACTCTCCTCTCTCTCTGAAAGCTGACTAAGTATTAAGCCCAGTCACCATGCATTTTTTTTTAAAAATTGGTTCTTTAACAAGATTAAAATCGCCTGAAGAAGTTACAAGTATTATTTCAGCAGTTTCTACAATGAAGGAGGTTTTATATTGGGTACTTTTATAAATATCGTGAAATACCGGTATCCGATTTTCATATCGCAATATATTATCGCGGTGGGTCATACCGCAATATACCGGTAATATTGCACACCCCTATATACTTAACCTCTGCCCTTCAAACTTGGTAAAACTTTGTGTATAGTAATTGTCTGCATGAATAAGCAATATTCTTGTTAGCTCTTCTGAGCCAAAGGCTCAAAGAGCTAATGTTATGGCCATTTGTGAGGTGTGTGTAAACTTTTTAGAATATGGGCCATAACTCAAGAACCCCTTGGTCAATTATTGTCAAATTTGTCACAGGGTATCTTTGGCCCAAGAGCTCCCATTTATACTAAAACTAGGGTTGTGACCCTTAAACAAGGGGAGATAATTAGGAAAATAGAAACAAAAGTACTGGTTGCTAAAAAATCTTCTTCTCAAGAACCACTGGGCAGATTATCACCAAACTTATACAAAAGGATGAGTATATATTGTAGATTAAAATTTGCAGGGGGATTTACCCTGGGGCAAAGGGTGTGGTATCAAGGTCACTTCAAAGTTGACAAAAAATTACATTTTATTAAAATGTTGATATTTTGTTTACTACAAGGACTAGGATCATCAAATTTTGTCAGTTGATGCATCTAAGGACCTCATATAATGTTGACTCAAAAGTAGGTCAAGGTGACCTACATTTTAAATTTTGCTGCCATTCTTTTTCAAAATGATTTAGAGGTATATTTTGAACAATTTAAGGTCTATGATCATCAAACTTTGTTAGTTGATGTATCTTGGGTCCTCGGAGTACGTCGACTAAAAAGTAGGTCACCTTGACCTACTTTTTGAATTTTATGGCTAATCTTTTTCAAAACAATTAAGGTCATTAATTCGAATACTGAAAGGTTTAGAATCATTGAATCTTGTAAGATGATGCATCTTGGGGCCATAAAACATATTTATGAAAAAGTAGGTCACAGTGACCTACTTTTTGAACTTTGCAGGCATTCGATATCAAAGCATTTTAGAGGCATAATTTGTACATTTTAAGGCCTTTGATCATAAAACTTTGTAAGTTGATGCATCTTGGGTCCTCAAAAAACATCAACTGAAAAGTAGGTCACCATGACCTACTTTTCAATTTTTATGACTGTAATTATATATTTCAGGTACTAATTGGCTTAGAATCATCAAACTTTGTCAGTTGATGCAATCTTGGGTCCTTGGAGTCCGACTGAAAAGTAGGTTACTGTGACCTACTTCTGAAAATTTATGGCTTTAATTAAATATTTCGGGTACTAATTGGCCTAGAATCATCAAACTTTGTCAGTTGATGCATCTTCGGTCGTCAGAGTACAACAACTGAAAAGTAGATCACAGTGACCTACTTTTAAAAATTTATGGCTTTAATTTAATATTTCAGGCACTAATTGGCTTAGAATCATCAAACTTTGTCAGTTGATGCATGTTGGGTCCTTGGAGTACGATAGCTGCAGATCTGTAGCTCGCTGGTCTGAAAAAATTGGGATGGACAACCACAGAGCTACAGTGCCACCCATTGAAAAAAGTGTGTATTTTTTGTGCACAAAAAAGAGCGCTTTTTCTTGATTTATTTCTCAGTATATTTAAAAATATTACTGACCGTGTGTTCCTAACATATCCTTTTACTACTTTCACAACAAACTGTTTGTGCAAGTTATGTACCATATGCCCCAATAAAGGAAAAAACGCAGATTGTACGAGCACCAAAACCATGGTTTACTGAAAATATTCATCATCTTAAATGTGTTTCACGCAAGGCAGAGAGAACATGGAAAACTTATAAACAACCGCATCAGTACATGGCCATGAAAACAGCGCGCAACAAGTATAATTATGAGTTAAATCGGGAGAAAAAACAAGTTTTGAGTGAAAAAGTACTCAACTTTAAAGGAGATTCCAAAAAGCTATACATGTATAGGTTCGTTTCGGAACTTTCCGGTTCTAAGATAGAAATTCCGATGCCGAATGCTAAAAGCGACGCAGCACTTGCGGAAAATTTTGCCGACTATTTCATGGATAAAATAGACAAGATTAGACAATCATTAAAACATTTTGATAATTTTGAACCAAGGCATAAAGATGTTCCTTCATTTAGTGAATTTCAAGAACTCTCGCAAGATGAAATAAAAAATCTTATTATGGAACTCCAAACTAAATCTTGCGAATTAGACATCTTAGCAACCAATATTTTGAAATCTTTTTTAAATGACCTTTTACCAAACATTACGAAAATTGTTAACCTTTCATTGAAACATGGTATCTTTCCAGCAAAATGGAAGCAGGCGATCGTTAGACCTCTTTTAAAGAAAATAGGTTTGGAATTGGAGTTAGCGAACTACCGACCAGTGAGTAATCTGTCATTTCTTTCAAAACTTACCAAAAAATCCGCTCTCTGTAGACTCAATTCGCATGTTAATGAAAACAATCTACTTCCCAAAAATCAGTCGGCATACAGACGTTTCCATTCTTGTGAATCTGCGCTTTTAAGACTCGTAAATGACCTGCTTGACTCTATGGAGAAACAAGATGTAACGGCTCTTATAGCAATCGATCTCAGCGCCGCATTCGATACTGTAGACCACGATATATTAATAAAAGTACTTCAAAAACAATATGGAATCTGTGGCTTGGCATTAAAATGGGTAGATTCATACTTGCGACCTCGTGGCTGCCAAGTATGTGTAAATTCCATTTCATCGTCTGTGCGTCAGCTGCAATGCAGCGTTCCACAAGGTAGCTGCTTAGGACCCTGGTTGTATCTGGCGTACGCAGGAACTATATTTGATGTCATTCCTCCTTCCATATCAGTTTTCGGCTTTGCAGATGACCATACCGCAATTACACGCTTTAATCCAACGTCGAAACACAGCGAAATTGAGGCTATTCGCGCGCTTGAGGATTGTGCAAAGATTATTAACAACTGGATGAACGCTAATAAACTTAAAATGAATGCATCAAAAACAGAATTTATTCTATTTGGCAGTAAAAAACAACTAGAAAAATGTGCTACAAAAGTGATTAACATTAATGAAAATGAAATAAAGTCCGTAGAATGTATACGATATTTGGGTGCATTTTTAGATGAAAATCTTAATTTCAAAGAACATGTAAATAGGAAATGTCGAACAGCAATGTTAAATTATTTAAGAATCAAAAGCATCCGCAAATATTTAACGAAAGCTACGGAAATTTTAGTTCTATCATTAGTTATTTCACATTTAGACTATTGCAATGTTATTTTATTCAGAATAGCACAATACGAAATTAATAAAATGCAACGAATTCAAAACGTGTGCCAAATTGGTTTTAAATCGGAGGAAATTTGACAGTTCAAAAGAATCTCTATTTGATCTCCACTGGCTACTGATCAAAACTAGAATATCATTCAAGATTCTGACATTCATGTATAACTGTTCAGTGGGCCAAGCACCAGAATATTTAATTGAACTTCTGTCAAAACAAACTTCAAATCAAAAATTGCGCTCTTCCCGAAATTCCGAAAGCTGTTACACAGTCCCATTTAATAAAAGAAAAACTTTCAGCGACAGGAGTTTTAGTACCATCGGACCAAAATTGTGGAATGAACTGCCTTTGAATATTAAACAATCAAAATCTATTGATGATTTCAAAAACAACTTTAAAAATTACTTCTTTAGGGACTTTGGTGCTTTATTTTAATGATTACTCTCCATGTATATTTGTATATAATATGTAAATATATTTTACAGCTTTACTGTACAACGCCATTGAATACGTTTGTGTAAAAATAGGCGTTTAATCAAATAAATCAGTTTCAGTTTCAGTACCAAGCGCGTTGGATCGAATTGTCTTGCCACCCAAGATGGCAGTTTATATAGGCGAAATTTTCGATGGACTCAATTTCAAGCCCAGGAGGGCTTTTTACAATGGATTTGGGAAATGTTTTATTGTGGAAGTAGCAAAAAAATATGTTAGGAACACACAGTTTGTAATATTTTGAGATAGCAGCTTAAAACTACGGAGAAATAAATCAAGAAACAGCGCACTTTTTTGTGTGCAATAAATATACACTGCAGCTAGGAGTACGACAACTGAAAAGTAGGTCACTGTGACCTACTTTTGAAATTTTATGGCTTTATTTAAATATATCAGGTACTTATTGGCTTAGAATCATCAAACTTAGTTGGTGCATCGTGGGTCTTCAGAGAATGACAAGTGATAAGTTGGTCACCATGACCGACTCTCAGGTACTAATTGGCTTAAAATCATCTTGGGTTCTCAGAGTGTTTCATCTAAAATGTAGGTCATGATGACCTACCTTTGGAATTTCAGGGGTTTATGTAAATATACAGGATACTTATAGGCTTCAAATAGAAGTGATAGGTTGTACAGTTTATCAGAAGAGTGATTCAGGGCCTTGGGCCTCTTGTTTTTAAAGTTCAACATGGTCCAATGTGGAGATGGGTCCCCCAGATGCTATTCTAGGAATAACAGAGGCTTTTAAAAAAGATTCCAGCCCACAGAAGATCAACTTGGGTGTCGGTGCATACAGAGATGACAATGGGAAACCTTTTGTGTTGGAATGTGTGAAAAAAGTTTGTATAAATTCTTTTTATGGATTATGCGAATAATGAATCAGTCATTCTGAATATCAAAGGTCTTAAAAAGTTTATTTTATATATGTATTTTTTTTTGTTTTTGGAAAAATATATCCCTTTTACCAGTGAATAGAAATCGGACATTTTGAACATCAGAATACGGAATTTTAAAGTTTAAGCAATATTCTAAGGCTACATAAAATTGAATCACATCTGTTTTGAGGTAGTTGCATTGCAATTTTTACATGTATTGCATTTTCAATAAAATTTAAGAAATGGTAGTGCAGAGGCCAATCTGGGGGAAAAAATTCTCCCTCATTTTCTCTGAGTTTTGCACTCGATCTTCATTTCTAGTATCCATTTCATATAAGTGTGGACATTGACAGCCATTCAACAAGGACATCTTGTTTGCAAAACATGAAAAATTGCATATATTTGGTAACACTGTGAGATGTTAAATGCATCTATAGAATGTCTCTAGTATAACTATGAAGAAAGAAATCCATTGTTATTTTTATAGAAAATTCTGGATTTAAAAAAAAAAAGCCTCCTGCATCTAATTTATCATCGATAAAAAGGTTTTAAAAAAAAAGAAGTAGAAGAAGCCTCCCGCCCAAATCTGTTTTTAAAAAAATTGGCCTGAGAACTGTAATGTCAATATTTTTTTCAGCCTAAACTTAAATTATTACAAATTCTCTGACAGGCAGAACAGATAATGCTCCAGGAAAATTTGGACAAGGAATACGCACCCATCAACGGCACAGCAGAGTTCTGTCTAGAAACAGCTAAACTGGCATTTGGTGATAACAACCCGGTGGTTAAAGAAGGCAGAGTAAGTGCTGAATTGTTCAAATTCTGAAAAATATTGCATAGAAAATTCTCATTCCTTGTTTGAACTTATTTTAAATGATTCATGAACATCAGGATTTGGAACCTGACTTTATTTTAAATTAAATTCTACAAAACGGGGGAAAAAAGCAATTGAATATGTATTCTGTTAGTGTAAAATGGAAGCCTATTTCATGAAATTATTTTTCCTGCTTGTATTTGTATGTAACATGTACATACACTGTCAATCATAATGATTGTACTTGTTAATAGAATACAATGTTAAAGTTTATCATAGCAAGACTTTCTTCATGACAAAAAAATGCTCTTTATAAAGGTTTCAAGAAAGGTTATAGAACCCATTTTGATTTTTTACATTTTTGTTGCAGAATATGACAGTGCAGGGTATTTCAGGTACTGGTGCACTAAGACTTGGGGCAGCATTCTTTGTAAGTATTACACCATGAAAAAAATCTTAACATATTCACTATGATCACTACATTAAAGTTTGAATATTGTTGTCTGCAAAAGGAAAAATAAGATTCATTGCTTAGATTTCTGACATTACATTGTCTATAGTAATTTTATTTAATTATTCATCAGCATAAACACTGGTCATTTGTCATTATTGTAGTCTAAGTTTTACTCTAAAAGCAAAGATTTTTGGATTCCAACTCCTTCATGGGGAAACCATACTCCTATATTTAAGTAAGTCTACCTTCTTCAATTTATAATGTAAAGTAAAAAAAATTCAATTATGTATAAATTGATAAGGATAGCCTGAAAATGAACGAGATTACTTATCATTTTAGAAAAAAATCGATGTGTAAACAATTTTGTAACCATTTCAGACACTCTGGTTTGGATGTGAAATCATACAGATATTACGACCCCAGTACATGTGGATTCGATTTTGCAGGTGCTATGGAGGACATTTCGGTAAGTTGAAAAATTCGGAGCATAGAGTATTATAAACAGACTGGTTGTTTAGGGACATCCATCTAAATCTAACAGAGGATTATTACTGAAATTTCAAATGAAACTTTGATACAGATTAAATGGGTATTTTTTATTTCGGTACACAATTATATAAGCAAAGTGTAAGGTTTTCAAAGGAACTACCATATGATATGTTTTTGATCTAATAAAGAAAAGTAATTAAAATAAGATCTTAATTGCCTCATGAACTGAAATGTCATGGGGAGCAATCAAGACCTAATTTTTATTAGATTGATGTATTTGATTTTAATATAATCATTTTAAGAATTCATTCAAAATTTTATGTTAAGTACATCAAAATAATCATTAGTCATATGGTATTGACTTTATATGTCAATTATACAATGATGTAAGAATTATGGAAGTGCACGTTTTTTGTGTTTAGTAAATAATAAATGATGTGTACATTTCTTTGAATGTCTTGAACTGTGTTTCGCTGGTTGTCCATCTAATTTTTTCAGACCAGTAAGCTTCAGATCTGCAGCCGACATTGATATTTAATGATAGACCTGTAAATCAAAAAGGAATTTTTATAATCTTTTTTTTTAAATACTTATTTGTTTGTCCAACCATGAGCATTTTTCTTGGCTTTTTTTCCCATGTTTATTTTGTGTACAGTATCTGTTTAGAGAAACGTAATCGGAGAAGAAAATGCAGTTTAAATATTTATTTGCTTAAAATATGTGAAGGACACTGTGTTGTATTTTAAATGCTATTTAATGGACTGACTACCGGTAGTTTTACAGATTGTATTGTTGACAAATATTTCTTTTCAGGATTTAGCAAAGACAGGAAGAATTTTTTTCCAAAGCTGTTTATCATTTCTCATTGTTATTTTTTCTTTTATTTGAAAGAAAATCCCAGAGGGTAGTGTGATAGTGTTACATGCCTGTGCTCACAATCCAACAGGGGTGGATCCAAGGGTTTGTAATGTTTATTCAGTAAATCTGTAAAAAATTATTTCCATTATTGATTACATTTCTACATTTTGAACCTTTATCAAAATTACATGAATTAAACAAATAAATGGAATTAAACAGATCTGTCTCAGACAATTAATTCTAACTATTATTTTATAAAACTTACAATAAATATAAAATAAAAATGATATAAAAATATTTTAATAAATAAATATAAAATTTTATTCTTCCACATTTAGAAGGTGCTAGTATAGCTGTGGAATCAAATTTCCTAAGTCATTTTTTTCCACTTCTCTGTCATACATGTTTGTAAGAGAGTATGGTTAAAATACCTCATAATTCAAATTTTGTTGCATTTCATAGCCTGAGCAATGGAAAGAAATGAGTTCCCTGATAAAAAAGAAAAATTTGTTCCCATTCTTTGACATGGCATACCAAGGCTTTGCCAGTGGAGACACAACCAAAGATGCCTTTGCTCTGAGGCAGTTTGTAGAGGATGGACATGAGGTTGCCCTTGCTCAGTCCTATGCAAAGAACATGGGGTTGTATGGTAAATTTTTTTTTCTTTCAAAAGAACACATCTTTCACTAGTTTTATAATTTTTAGTGATTTGGAAAGGAGCATCTATAAAAGAGTATTTAAATCATTCCAGAGCAGGCAAACTCTTTAAAGGTAAACAACTAGCGTAATTAATATTTTTTTATTTCATTGCCAGGAGAGAGAGCTGGAGCATTCACAATTGTTTGTGGATCAAAAGAGGAGGCTGATAGAAATATGTCCCAGATGAAGATTATCATCAGGGGCATGTACTCCAGCCCCCCGATCCATGGAGCCAAAATCGTCACCAGAGTCCTCACCAACCCAGACCTTAAAAATTTATGGTAAGATTGTCGTAATCACATTGAACAATCTTAAGCACTTATTTTAAAACTTTTATAGATGTTTTCGGACATTACTGTAACATAATAATTGATCGGGATATGAGAGGTACATGTATTACATTTGTATAGTAAAACTTTTGTATTAGCTAGCTCTTTGACAGTTGACTCAAATGTAGGTTATCTACCTTTGGTCATAAGTTAGCAGGGGTGAAAAACCATGAATCTTTTTTTTATATTCTCTATAAAACCATCTAGTTTAGTAAACTAGTTTTAGTTTGTTAAAATTTATTTAAAATTTGTTTAATTTGTTAAAACCAGGTTTTTTGGATAACTCTTATTAGACAATCTATAAATATGGGGGAAATGACTATATTATGCAATGTTTACTGCTTTGACAGCTGGAAATCTAAAATTATATAAAATCTATCTAGTTTATGAGCTTTGTTATCAATAGTACTATTTTAAAAGAAGGATATAAATTTTCTACAGACAAACTACATGTAAAAGATATTCAAAATTTAGAAATATGAACAACTCCAATATTAAATAGTGCAGATATTTATACCCCCCCACAAACGAAGTTTAGGGGGGTATATTGGAATCAGCATGTCCGTCTGTCTGTCCGTCTGTCTGTAGACGAGATTTTGTCCAGACCATTTCTTGGAAACTTGCAAGGATTTATCTGAAAATTTGTACACTTATTATTCGTCATATGAAGGTGTGCACCTGGTATTTTCACCATGATTGGATAATTTTTTTTCATTTTACAGGTGTTTTTTTTTTCATTTTTATTATGTGGTTTTGTCCGGATCTGTTCCCAGAGATTATTGCATAGATTTGTATGAAAATTTGTACACTTATTATTTACCATATGAAGGTGTGCAACAACATTATTTGATAATTTTTCTGCATTTTACAGGTGTTTTTTTTTCATTTTTATTGACTTAGTCATTTCGGGTTCATGTCTAAGGTTTGAGACATAGAATCTAGAACATCTGTACAAAAATGTGAACTACAGCGTAAAACTACTCATTAGAACTAAAATAAAAATCACAAAATATTAAAAACAGTTTTTACATTACACAGCAGATAGTGTAAATCTATTTGTCCCTTTGGAGTAATGAGTGGACATGCATCCAGTTAAAGATTAATTAATGAGTTCAGTGTGGGAAGCTGTTAGGGCATCTCTGATCAAGCAGGTCTTATCTGTATCTCCTGGGAATTGAGCAGAAAGAAATAAAGATCTCTGTTGTCTAAGCCTCTTAATTTGTAATTTATGTCTGTCAAAATACATAGTTACTGAAACCAGCCTTTTATTTTTAAAATGAGTTTGATATAAAGGTATTAAGATCAATTTGACTTTGTGTAATTAATTATGATATTTTTTTTCAACAATCAATTTACAGAGTGTCATGTCTCACAAAGATGACAGATAGCTGCAAACTATTTTTTCAATGTAATAAAAAACACTGTAATTATTAGTATTGATGTTTTATTAGGCTGCACATTAGTTTCATTCATTAAAAAAAAATATAATGAGTAATTAAATTTTCACTCTAAATGTTTAAGCAAATTGTGAACACCTCTCACATCTAGAAAATATTAATGATTTGGTACCTTCTCTGAAAAACCCAGCGGGGGGTATTTGTCCCTTTTGGACAGTTCTAGTTGCAATTGTATGCAATTATTTGAAATATTGGTGAGATACATAATGGAGCAATTTTACAGACCCCAGATTTGACACTGCTTAATTTAACAGTGTTTCAAAATTTATACTTATGTCCAAGCTGACATTGACTGATGGTTGTTTTCAGGCTAAAAGAAGTGAAGGGAATGGCTGACAGAATCATCACAATGAGGGAGGCACTGGTGGCTGCTTTAGCCAAAGAGGGATCCAGCAAGAATTGGCAGCACATCACGGACCAAATCGGCATGTTCTGCTTCACTGGACTCAAGCCTGACCAGGTGGGTACAGTTATTTGTCAAAAACTGGGAAGTATGTGTTGTAAGGGAATATAAAGTTCTATGTGGCCTGTGAAGTTTTAATGGGAAAGTTTATGTATGGTAATATTTGATCAATTCAAAATTCTCTCCATTAAAACTTTCCAGAAGGATTGGGGTCGCAATATCATAAATTTAAAGTCCAGTTTTCCTGCAAACATGCTTAAAGTTTCATGGCATTTTGTTTGTGCAACAATTACTACTGTCAAACATTTTTTCGTGTCTGTTTCTCATTAGATGTCTTGTACATGATGTTTAGAATGTTCAAAAATAAAATGCTTAACTTTTGTGTTTCATTTGATGGATGCCAATATACATGACCAGTTGAAATGCTGAAATCTTTCAGGCAATACTGTATATGGGTGAATTAAAAAAAAAATGACCACCAAACTGAATTTTTTTGGCAAAATTCAACTACTTGTAACATATTTTTCACTTATATCATCATATTGCAAATGCATTCTAGTTTAAAATCCTGAAGTGGCAATAGAATAGACAATTGGATTAAAAAGTTTCAGAATTTTTATTAGAAAAATTTCTTTTGAAAAAAGAAAATATCATTACACCTTAAAAGACTTTCTAAAATACATAATCACAAGAAATTATAGTTTTTTATGCTTCAAAATGGTAAAAGGGGTATAAATGATTAAATCTAGAACTTGTATGTATATCTTCTCTTGTACATGTGACAAAAAATTGGCTTTTTGATTGTTATTTTACATTATTTTTTTAATTCTGGTTTGAAAAGTTTTAATATGAAAAAAATATGAAGAAATAAAATTCCCCAAAATTCACTTTTTTGTCCGTTCAAGTCAATTCTTTAAATCAAAGCCAAAAAAGAATTGTTTTATACGAGTTCTCTTACAAAAAATACTAGATTTTGAAGTGACCCTATGTTACATTATTGTGTTGCACTCCTGACATCTGATATGTATTTTATTTAACACTGTTTTAAAAATTATAACACACAATAACCCATTCTTACTTTGTAAATCAATTTGCCGTGTCGATATTTTTCATCGTTTACAGCAGGTTTTTCATATGTTGAAGACCTTAAAACATAATTATTTGCAAAGTGTAATATATATAAAATGTATTTAAAATATATGTGAAATGATGAAAACTATTCCCTGAATTGACTGTAAAATTTCTGTAATTTGTTGATAGACATAGTGTTTTGAACATCAAATAGTATCAAGCATTTTTTTTCAACTTATTTTTAGGTCACCTGAGTCACTCAGGTGACCTATTGCTATCCGTTTTCGTCCGTCGTCGTGCGTTGTGCGTTAACATTTGAACATTTTCAGCTTCTTCTCTGAAACCGCTCAACCAATTTCAACCAAATTTGGCATATAACATCTATGGGTAAAGGGGGACAAAATTTGTGAATTTCATGGTCCCTGCCCCCCTGGGGCCTGAGGGGTGGGGCAAAAACCACTAAAATTAATGCAATCTTTAAAAATCTTCTTCTTTACTCCTGGACATCAAGCAGTCAAACTGTTAGCATGATTGTAATAAGCATTGAGCCCTCTACCAAAATTGTGAAATTCATGGCCCCAGGGTAAGGGGTTCTGGGGCTAGGGCGGGGCTATATAGATCATATAGTAAAAGTGCATTATTTCTTCAAAAATCTTCTTCTCTGCTCCTGGGTATAAAATAAACTAACTAAGTACACAGTTATGATAAGCAAGAATGCCCGTTCCAAAATTGTGAATTTCATGGCCCCTGGGTCAGGGGTTCTGGTGAAAGGGGGGGGGGGGCTCTATTGATTATATAGTGAAAATGCATTATTTCTTTGAAAATCTTCTTCTCTGCTTATGGGTATGAAATAAACTAACTAAGTACATAGTTATGATGAACAAAAGTGCCTCTTCCAAAATTGTGAATTTCATGGCCCCAGGGTCAGGGGTTCTGGTGTTAGGGTGGGGCTTTATTAATTATATAGTGAAAACACATTATTTCTTTGAAAATCTTCTTCGTTGCTCCTGGGTATTAAACAAACTAATTAAGTACATAGTTTTGATGAGCAAGAGTGCCTCTTCCAAAATTATGAATTTCATGGCCTTGGGTGAGGGGTTCTGGTGAAAGGGGGGGGGGCTCTATTGATTATGTAGTGAAAATGTATTATTTCTTTGAAAATCTTCTTCTCTGCTCATAAGTATCAAAGAAACTAACTAAGAACATAGTTATGATGAGCAAGAGTGCCTCTTCAGAAATTTTGAATTTCATTGCCCCTGGGTCAGGGGTTTTGGTGAAGGGGGGGGGGGGGGTTATTGATTATATAGTGAAAATGCATTATTTCTTTGAATATCTTCTTCTCTGCTTATGGGTATTAAAGAAATTAACTAAAAACATAGTTATGATGAGCAAGAGTGCCTCTTCAGAAATTGTGAATTTCATGGCCCCTGAATCAGGGGTTCTGCTGTTAGGGTGGGGCTCTATTGATTATATAGTGAAAATGCATCAATTCTTTGAAAATCTTCTCTGCTCCTGGGTATTATTTAAACAAAGGAATTGCATGGTTATGATAAGCAAAAATGCCTCTTCCAAAATTGTGAAATTCATGGCCCCAGGGTCAGGGGTTCTTGTGAAAGGGGGGGGGGTGGCTCTACTGATTATATAGTGAAAATTCATAATTTCTTTCAAAATATTTTTTCTACTCCTGGTTATAAAGCAAAGAAACAAGTGTATAGTTATGATGAACAAGGATGCTTTTACAAAATTTTTAAACTTGTGGTCCCAGGGGTTCTGCTGTTTTTCTGAGGGGGTGGGAGGGGGGGGGGCTCTATTGATAATATAGTGAAAATGTGTGAATTCTTTGAAAATCTTCAACTAATTGCATAGTTATGATGATGAGGGTACCTCTTCTAAATTTGTAAATTTCATGACCCTCGGTCATGGTTCTGGTGTTAGGGTAGGGCTGTGTTAAATAGTAAAAGTGCATTATTTCTTTGGAAATCTTCTCTGCTCCTGGGCATATTGGAGGCAAACAGAGTAAAAGTTTTAATAAGCAAGGGTATTTTTACCAGAATTTTAAACATCTGGACCATTTGGTCAAGTGTTCTGATCCTGGCCAGGGCTCTATTAATTTGTATTCTACTGAGTGAAGTTATTCCCGTTTGCCATTCACCTTTGATAATTAATCAGTGTAGATAATGTATTTGAAAGGTTAATAGAATAAGAGAATTATGCAAGAACATTGATTGTATAATACAAAAAGTACTTTCCTAGTTTTAATGATCAGGTAGACCTGGAAGTAATAGATGATTAAAAGTGAAACAAAAATAACTTATCTTTTTTAATGTTCTTCAAAGGCCAAGTGAGGCCAGTTTGAGATATTTTGTAAAAAGTCTGTATGGTAATAGCGATAAATGGGGGACAGATAGATAAATCTTACTATTTTCCTTGCTTTTGGAAAAAAAAAAAAGCTTTATTAGGTCACCTGAGTCACTCAGGTGACCTATTGCTATCCGTTCTCGTCCGTCGGTGTGCGTCGTGTGTTAACATTTGAACATTTTTAGCTTCTTCTCTGAAACCGCTTAACCAATTTCAACCAAATTTGGCATATAGCATCTATGGGTGAAGGGGAACAAAAATTGTGAATTTCATGGTCCCTGCCCCCCTGGGGCCTGAGGGGTGGGGCTAAAACCACCAAAAATAATGCAATCTTTAAAAATCTTCTTCTTTACTCCAGGACATCAAGCAGTCAAACTGTTGGCATCATTGTAATAAGCAGTGAGCCCTCTACCAAAATTGTGAAATTCATGGCCCCAAGGTCAGGGGTTCTGGCCCCAGGGTGGGGCTATATAGATCATATAGTGAAAGTGCATTATTTCTTTGAAAATCTTCTTCTCTGCTCCTGGGTATTAAATAAAGTAACTAAGTACATAGTTATGAATAGCAAGAGTGCCTCTTCCAAAATTGTGAAATTCATGGCCCCAGGGTCAGGGGTTCTGGTGTTAGGGTGGGGCTCTATTGATTATATAGTGAAAATGCATTAATTCTTTGAAAATCTTCTTCTCTGCTCCTGGGTATTAAATAAAGTAACTAAGTACATAGTTATGAATAGCAAGAGTGCCTCTTCCAAAATTGTGAAATTCATGGCCCCAGGGTCAGGGGTTCTGGTGTTAGGGTGGGGCTCTATTGATTATATAATGAAAATGCATTAATTCTTTGAAAATCTTCTTCTCTGCTCCTGGGTATTAAATAAAGTAACTAAGTACATAGTTATGATGAGCAAGAGTGCCTCTTCTGAAATTGTGAAATTCATGGCCCCAGGGTCAGGGGTTCTGGCCCCAGGGTGGGTCTATATAGATCATATAGTGAAAGTGCATTAATTCTTTGAAAATCTTCTTCTCTGCTCCTGGGTATTAAATAAAGTAACTAAGTACATAGTTATGATGAGCAAGAGTGCCTCTTCAAAAATTGTGAAATTCATGGCCCCAGGGTCAGGGGTTCTGGTGTAAGGGTGGGGCTCTGTTGATCATATAGTGAAATTGCATTAATTCTTTGAAAATCTTCTTCTCTGCTCCTGGGTATTAAATAAAGTAACTAAGTACATAGTTATGAATAGCAAGAGTGCCTCTTCCAAAAGTGTGAAATTCATGGCCCCAGGGTCAGGGGTTCTGGTGTAAGGGCAGGGCTCTATTGATTATCTAGTGAAAATGCATTAATTCTTTGAAAATCTTCTTCTCTGCTCCTGGGTATTAAATAAAGTAACTAAGTACATAGTTATGAAGAGCAAGAGTGCCTCTTCCAAAATTTGAAATTCATGGCCCCAGGGTCAGGGGTTCTGGTGTAAGGGTGGGGCTCTATTGATTATGTAGTGAAAATGCATTAATTCTTTGAAAATCTTCTTCTCTGCTCCTTGGTATTGAATAAAGTAACTAGGTACATAGTTATGAGGAGCAAGAGTGCTTCTTCAAAAATTGTGAAATTCATGGCCCCTGGGTCAGGGGTTCTAG